GGGGGAAAGCTTGCTTGCTTGCTTGCTTGCTTTCTTTCTTTCTTTTTCTTCTCTTAAGCATTAAAAGGAAACTGGATGTTGATTTGGGACTTCTCACTTGTTGATGTTTGCCAGGATTTAGTGGCCTTGTATTAAGCGGTGAAATAATTCTTGGGGCCCCCTGGGTTACATTAATGTTGAATTAGCTGTAGAGTGCTTTGAGTTTCTAGGAAGTTAATGTGAAGTAGAGACAGATCACTTAACACCAGTTATCTTTCTTTACTTTTGAATGCTGTCGGGTTGTGTCCTGCCGCGACCAGTCTGACCTGAGGCATGTTAGAGTGCCTGGCTCACAGCAGAAGTTCAGGAAATCTAGGGCTCCATTCCCTCCCGACACCCCAGAAAGACCTTCTTGCCTCAAGAGCATAAGGTGGCAGAAATAAGCTCCCCACTCTTTTTCCAAGTAGTCAATGAAGAAGGCACGAGGAGACTCAGGGAAAAAATGGTTTTGAGCACAGAAAAATCTGGCACAACCTTTTTAATTTTATATATGAGGGAACTGAAGTCGCGAAAGATTAAGTGCCTTGATTTGCTCCACGTCTCAGTACTAGTGACAGTTGCAAGTACTAAAAGGGAAGGAAAAGAGTAAGGGAACTAACACTTATGTAGCATCAGCAACGTGTTATCCAGTTAATGCTCTGAACTGGATTAATGCCATTTGTTGGGATCAGTAGCAGATGTCCTTGGAAAATAAATGGCATCAAAGTGCTGATGCTGACAGGATGAGAAAGGAACTGTAAAGGGAAGTTCCAATGAACTGCAGCCCTGAAAAGGTGGGTAAAGAGCAACAAGACACAATAATGCTCTTTATTAAAGCAGTTCTGACCATCTTGCTTCCCAGGAAAGTTTGGGACATAACTGCAAGTCAGTGAATGCGTATATTCACATTTTCAAGGCCACAGTGTGTGGGTAAGATGGATGAAAATTGGGACAGGGGTTACCATATTGTCTGCTCTGATAGCTGTTTTATAATTTGGACATTATAAGCACCCAAATACTGAACCATATGTGTATGGCATATCCACTCATGCATATTAAATACTTTCCATTTAATTGCAGAATTTTTAGTATTTATATTAATGATATGGCTTGAAGGGGTTAATAGGAGAGACAGAATGCCATCTGCAAGCTTACTGTGCTGGCAGGTCATTCAGGAGTGTTAACTGAAAAGAGCCTCTGGAGGTGAGAGAAGACAGGACTAGGGGTAGAGATAGCCACAGATTTTTGGCCAAAGGATGGACAGCCACTGGTCAGCAGAGGTTTTTTTGGTTCCCCACCTTCCCCATCCCCTCTTTGACATTCCTGCTATGTTCCCTTTAGGAGTGCACCTGTTGGGCTTATTCAAAAGTGTGACTTTTGGTCAACAACAGGCCCAGACCTAGTGCTAAATCCTCACCAGTGATTTACCTGAGTGTCACGCCCCCTGCCCCTCCCAACACACACATACCTCAACACAAACATACCTCCTCCACAGAGAGCTACCTCCTCTTTGACACACAATGAGACTTTAGAAGAGGTTGCAGAAGCAAGGTGATACCAAGATGATAATGAAATGTGTCATTTATTGAACATCTGTTAGAAGCCATGCTCTGTACTGTTTTTTTTTTACATCCTCAGCCTATGCTGTTTCCCACATTTTACAAATCAAGACACTTTCTGATAATTAAACCCAAGATCAGACTACTGAGAAAAGGTGTAATCAGATTTGAACCTTGGTTCTTACTGTGAAGTCTATAAGGTCCCCTCTCAGTTGTACCCACCCCAACACCTCCTGCCCCCACCAGTAGGTATCACTGAGCAGGAAGGGAGGAGAGAAGCAGGTTAGAATAATGAGAGAAGAAATCTGCAAAGCTTTGGAGTGAAAAAGAGATTCTAGTGTTGCTTCTTCCCTTTTCTATTCTTTTTGAAGGAAGCTGGCAGTGACTGCTTAGGACTAGCTCTAGACTTGAAGAAGAGAGGGGAGCCTTATTTCTGTGGGCACCGCCCTTCTGACCAGAGTAAGTAGACATACAAGAAAGTTGAAGAGAAGCAAGAGAAGCGTATGCAGAAATAACATGTGCAGTTAGCCACAGCATCTTTGACATTGTGCCACGTGGGAATCTAAATGCAAGAACACTTCCTCAGTAGGGTAAATCTAGCCCAGGATTGGGCCAGAGGGAGAGAGAAAAGATGAGCACTGCAAGCCAAAACCCCTGTCCTCAACTCAGTCAGTTTGAGAAAATATCAACCTGCATCTACTCATAACCCACACCCTGCTCTTTAAGCAAAAACAATCATTTGGGCATTTTTCTTTCCTTCGGCTTTCGCTACGATGACTATTTAAGATTGTGGTCATTGTGAAGAGTTAAATATGGAACTTGGGTGAACCAGCTAAGTCAGTGCTCTTAAATTTTTTTTTAGGAGTAGTAGCTTTTTTTGAACAAAATTTTCAATGGAACCACAGTATTTAAAACGTGATTGGTATTAGTATTAATCTATAAAATCTACTTATAAAAAACTACTGAGAATAAGCTACCTTAATTGAATCAGATCTTCAGTCACACTTCTATCCATGAAATATGGATAAGTCACTTGCACAATGCCCTGAATCACCTCCTAGAATACAGAAAACACTGAGCCAAGTTAACCCAGGACCTGGACTTTTGGTCAAAAGAAGAAAAATGGGTAGAGTCTTGGGGGAAAAAAACCTTTTCAGAGTATATCTGCCCTTTCCTTATCACTTGGTAACCAGGTTTCTGTGTTAGTTACTCAACATTTGTGAGGCAGTTATGAAAAAACCCAGACCCTTTGTGGTACCACCAATGCTCTTCCTGTCACCCTCTTATTTTCTAGTGACCTCCACTGTAGATAAGGCCTCTCCCTAGTACTTGAAGGTAAGTAGTCTACAATGTAACCAGCTATTGGGGAAGTATTTGCTTTGATAGCCACTTGACCTTGACCAAGATAGGTGATTCATTTATTGATAAAATATTTCTCAGAAGTGTACTGAGCCAGGCACCTTAGGGATACAAAAATGGTAAAATATAGTTCTTGCCCTTGAGAAATTCATCATCCAGTAAGGTAAAAAAATCAAAAGATCAGATGTAGAACATGTCCATCTGTGTGAGTGATTGTGGTCACTTAGTGGTGAAATCTGAAGAATGCCAAGACTATATATTAAGTAATTTTCTCCCCTGTGGATGCATGTAAAATTCCACTATAAGAGATTTATTCCTATGAAGTAAAGAATTATACCCAGAGATTCTGTCAGAGTGAAAATTCCCACAAGCAATTAACAATGGCTAGTATATTTAAACACTAATGCCAAGTCTTTTGTACTAGAGTAACTGCCAGGAACAATATGTTGAGAAGGATTCTAAGGTCCTGTTTCCAGCCCAACAGGGAAGAATGCTGCCCTAAGGAAAGGAGGAGGAGGAGCAGGAGATAGCACTTGTGCCACATATTTCCTATCCATGAGTCAAACCTTTGTTTATGGAACAAATAATGAAGCTGGGGACAGACAGAGTCTTTGGGTTTCTGGGCAAAGGCCCACAAGGAAACTGATTTATCTACCACACAACTGAGAGTTCACCACCTGTCCCCAGGCTAACCAGCCTTAAGAAGTCTATTCTTTCTCTTGCCATTGCCAAACTCAATCTTTATTCTTCTGTGCTCAGCAGGAATAGAAATGGTAAAGGTATGTTCAATCTTTGAGAACTAGGATAAGGCAAATCCCAACATCTCACAGGGTTGGTCTGACTGGGAGAGGCTGTTACTTCTCTACTCAGGATCAGTCCTCCCATCTTCCCTTGTTATGGAATCCTCCATTTTGTGAGGACCAGCAGCATGCCCTCCTCAAAGATGACAGCTAGCCATGTGACTAGTTTGGCCAATGATATGAATCTTACAAGAAAGCTCTCTGGTGGTATTTCCTCTTTTGTTTCTTGGAATGTGGACACAGTGGCTGAAATTCTAGCCTGTGCTTTGTAATACCAACTGACCTTGAAGATGAAAGCCATGAACTAAGATCTGTCCCTGTATGCTTCTTTTACATGAAAGAAATAAACTATGTTGTATAAGCCACTGTTATTTTGCATTCCCAAGTAATGTTCAGCCAAATCTGATCCTGATTTGTTGAGGATCTGATATTATCCTTTGATAGAGTTTTATGTCTCTGTGTCAGCAGTTTTCACTCATTGGCCCCCAGAAAATGGGGATTCTGACCTACAACTGGGCAGTCATCATGTGTACTTGGCTGCCCATAGTAGAACGCAGTTTGGAATGGGAAAATGCAATAGGCAGGCTCGAGCCAAGGTAAGATTTTGTAGCAAAAAGAAGTTGTTCCTCCAAAAGGCAGATTAGTCCCCATGGAAATTGAAAGAATTAACTGCCTGATGCATTATTTTAATATAGCATTCTTTCAGTATTCCCAGAACTGGAACTGAGCATACTATGCTGTATGTGTGTCTTACAGACATACTGTGGTAGATATTAAAGATCCACCTGAGCCAGGAAATTAATTCTCTCCTGTTCAAAAAGTTTTTTCTGGACCTCTCTTCATGACTCCTCCACTGACTATTTGGAAAAAGGCTAGAAAGTTGGTTTCTGCTACCTTATATTCTTCCAAACACAGGCAAGAAGTCTTTCTAGTCAAAGATGGTTGGCACTGGGGATGTTGGAGGGGATTTCTCCCATGAGCCAGGCACTTTGCATACCCTTATGTTAGTTAACTGGCCTCACATTAGACCCTGTTGCCAACATGACAAAAACCAGCAGCATTTTAAAAGTAAAATAAAGATAATTGATAAATTGTGTTAACTTATTGCCTGTACCTCACATTTATGATCTCGAGGGAACTTTAAACACTACAGCTATAATTCAACATTCAGACAGCCCTAGTGTCCCCAGGAGCAGCTGGTAGATCCTGCTGAAGTGGGCAATCCTGTCACCTCCCTGCTTGAGGTTTGTCAATAGCCTCTCACTGGCTATAGAATAAAAACTCCACTCTGCCTGGCATTCAGGCCCACCTTTCTCCAGCCCATCAGCACTGTTCACAGTTAACAGGCCTGTCATTCTGGTCTCACTTTACTCGTGTGACCTCATTGCCTGAACACCTTTCCTCCTCTGCTGCCCAGCTCCACGTGTTTTTAATCCTTCTTAGCCTTCAAGGCCCAGCACAAGCACTGTTTTTTCTCAGTCCCTCATGCTGGAAACCATAAACTCACATAGGTTTTATCTAAAACCATCCATCTTTTCTAGTTGTTGTTTTTATGCATTAATTTCTTTTATCTTGCCTACTAAACTCTAAACTCCTAAAAGACACCCTGTTTGCTTCCCTGAATCTTCTTTGCAGCACTTTGCCACGTGCCTGGCATGTAGGAAGTGCTCAACGACTATTTGTTACCTGATAAGAGGTTAGACAACCTGAACACGCTCCTTTTTTAACCCCCTCAGTCTTCTGGTACTTTTCTTTCTCTCCATCCTTTATTGTCAGCAAGGAAGGACCTACTGAACTGGAGGCAGGGAAAGGGGGTTGTGTTAGTGATGATTGTAGAAAGTCTTCACTGATAATTCCCTTTTATTGTGTGTTGAAATATTTGGGGAAATATTTCTTGTGTTGTAAAGCTTTTGAGATCCATAGAGATCTACAGGCAATAAAGTGTTTATTACCTTTTATGCCTTCTTGCAAATTAATTAGCCAGGAAAACAGCTTTATGAAATGAAGTTATGCTTTTCAGAGCCTGGTTCTGACCATAATAGGAAGAAAGACATTAGAGAGTGTCATTCATTAACTTTTCCACTTCAAAAAGAGAAGATGGAATCTCAGAGCTTAGATTGCCATGCTTCATGTTTTTTTAAACCTGAAAGCACCCAAATCCAGAAGAAAAAAAGTAATATGCCGTATATGTGTATGCATGTGTGTACGTGCATGGAATACATACATGCTCAAAAGCCATGTTCATTCAGTTGATAAATTTTGCCAGTTTGTCCAAATCAGTGAAAGGGCAGATTGCCTATGTCTAGAGACCTTTCTTGTCACCACTGGGGAGGGAATGCTCCTACATCTAGTGGGTAGGAGCCAGAGATGCTGCTAAACATCCTATCGTGCACAGAACAGCCCCCACAATAAGCACTGTACAGCCCAAAATGGCAGGAGTGCCAAGGTTGAGAAACCCTGTCTAAATTTGCCAGTTATTCACTTCACAAATGTTATTCATTCTTTCTATTAGGAGGTACACATCCTTACACTTTTCATAGCATCTGAAAGAAAATAACAGCAATTACACTCTATCACGAATTCATTATCTAGTTTAGCTTCCCACTGAAAACGGTTTAAAAGGAAAAAGTAATACTTGTTTAAAAAAGAAAAAGAAAGATTGTTGATTTCAAAATACTTCTTATAACTTCTACAGGAGGTCTTTTAAACAGTCATTCTGGTTCCAGTTTTCCCACGTCATTCTAGAAATATATATATATATGTGAGCTTGGAAACATGCCCAGTTGCAGATAAGCAGGCCTGTAACAGACTTTTTTTTTTTTTTTAACTAAATGAGAAAAAAATCTAAGAGCTTAGAAGCTTAAGAGCCTCTTTGAGAACATTGTTGAGATGATGTGCAAGGCACAGAAAACACCACTGGATTTACTCTTATTTAAAGTCAGAGATTAATGACATTTCCTTCGTATTAGCTCTCATTCAGTGTTTTGTTAATACTTTCCCCTTTTTTGAGGGGAGCATGATTTCCTTCAGCCATTTGATCATTTCCCATATATTTTCTTTTATGATAATGTGATCATATTATATATATATATATATATATATATATATATATACATATATATATATATATATATATAAACTTTATAGCCTCCATTTTTTTTAGTGTCTTAAGTACTTTCCCAAACCAGTTAACAGTTTTTAAAAACTATCACAACAGCAAAATATATCCTATATAGATGTGCCATAACTCATTAAACATTCCACAATTATTGGACATTCCATTTGTTTCTTTTCAGTATAATAAACAGTTCTGAGGTGTGCATTTTGATATACTGATCGTTTTTGCATCTACTTATTTCCATAAAAGGAATTAGTCTGAGTCATTTTGACCAGATAGGAACATCTTAAAATCTCTTGATAAGTGTTGCCATATACCATTTTAGAGAGTTTATGCCATTTTGCAATTGTTTCCTTACTGAAACTCAAAGCTCAGAAAGGAACTTCTGGCCATTCTATGATCTGTAATTGGATGAGTTTCCATTGTCTCTGACAACATTTTATATACACCTGTACCCCCAGAATTTATTGTATTTTACCCACCTCTCTCCAAGTAAACTCTGAAGTAGAGAACAGAACTTGTCTTATTTGTTTGTCGCCCCAGTATTATGAAAATAAACACCTAACAGGCATCAAGGTACTGTCAGGTAAATCTCCAGAAGCAGTAATTGTGTCAATCTTAGTTTCCCTATGATGGACCACAGTGGTTTTATACATCTAACAAAGGGAGGCTGCATATAGAGAGCTGTGTTCTAAATCCAGTCCTGACAATTCTTCAGCATGTTGTTTTTCCAAGTTCTGAATTACTTCAGTGTGTCCTGTTATTTCTATTTTCCTTCTGTCCAGCAGGTGAACTTATAGCTGATAATAACCTGCAATGTTTCTTCATAATGTCACCTTATCCCAAGACCTTCAAGAGCCATGATTGTTACAAACCTAATAGAAACTTCTTTCTATTACTTAGTTGCTATCCTTCTGCATTTCTTGGGAACTTTACCTTGGCAGGATATGTGACGCTAAGTTTTAATGAATGTTGAACAGTCATTGTATGGTAAATACCAAGAAAAACAATGAGTGATGCAAGGAAAGAAGTGAAAATCTGTACCTTCTGCCTTTAGC